GGGAGGCGGGGAGGAGGCAGAAATCTTTTTTTTTTCAATAAAAAAATTATATTAAAAAAAAAAGAAAGTAGTTGGTTACTTCCAGAACATTTGTGTCCTGAATGCCAGTCCAAATTTAATTAAATAAATTCATCTGCTTATTTTTTAAATGTCTTGTATTTTAAGCATCATAACTAACAAACCATTACACATCAAAAGTACAGAAACTCCAATGTCTTGCTTTCTTTTGTAAAGAAAGATTTTATTTTGTTTTTCTATTTTCTTATTTAAATACACACACACACACACACACACGTGTGTGTGTGTGTGTGTGGTTACGTATACATGAGTTCAGATGCTATGAAAATTAAAGTTGTCAGAATTCCCAGGAAGTGGAGTCAGAAGTAACTGTGAGTCTTTTGACATTATGCTGGAAACACAATTTAGCTCTTTTACAAAAATGCTATATGCTGTTAGTCTCTGAACCACTTTTCTAACCCTAGACTTCTTGTCTTTAAAGAATTTTAGCCTCTTTAAAGAATTCTCTCTCATTGTATCTTTGATTAGTTGAGTTTGTGTTTTTTCATGGCCTAACACAGGCATTCATATTTTGGCACATGAATATCTTGCCTCACTACTATTTCTTCAAAGGATACATTTCTATTTCAGTGTTATCTCTTGACACTAAAATAAAACATCAATTAGCAAGGTGCAGATTTAGTTCTGTTTTCTTCTCTATTCACTTGTCTAGAGGCTTGTCCATATTCTTCTAGTATGTGATGTTTATTCTGCAGAAAGATTTTAAATCAAAAAGACGAGTCTTCTACGTTTTATTTTATTTTCTGAGATTTTTGTGTTATTCTTAGATTTTTAATTTTTTACATGTAATGCCTTAATGATAATCCTATAATTTTTCCAGTAAATGCTGCTGCGATTTCTATAGTACCATTTGGATATTAATAACTCTCTCGATATACAAATATAGGATAAATTTTCATCTATTTTCTTTGTAATCTTATCAAATAATTTATTTGCTGTTTTCCTCTCTTTTTTATTCTTTATGTTTGTACTAAAATCTTTATCTATTCTTTTTTGCTTGCTTTGTATATTTTAATGCCAACATGCATATAAAATGCAACTGAATTTTTTTGCAACTCTCAGCTCTATAATGATCTAATTTTCTTCATAGTTTGTGATGTGGTGGAAATATATGTGCTTATAGTGATGTCATTCAGAAGATAGAGTAAACTTTTATGATGATCAGATGTCATTTTTATTCATTCAAGCAGCTGTATCGTTATTTTATTTTGTCTGATGCTCTTAGGTTTACTCAGTTACTATGATATATCATTTCTGTGCTGTAGTTTTCAATTCATTTATATCTTTAAATGAAACTAGGTTGTTTGTATCATTTTATTAAATTTATTCAGATGTTTCACTATAGAGTTTAATACATTTAAATTTTAAATGATTAATGCCAAATCTATACTCACACTTACCACTGTGGTATTTCACTTTTATATCTATTAGGCCCTATATGTTACCATTTTATTCAGTTTTTGAATTATTTTGTATTAAAATTATATTTTTGTGATATCCTTTACTTCTCATGTAATAGTGTTGCGGGAGGTCCTTCCGCCCCTCCAACCAATAGCTGCTGTGATACCAGCCCATTGGGGCGTGGTCTCTCTCTTTTTAAAAAAGCGGCTATTTCCTCTGCTTGCTCTCTTCTCTTCCTGCTCCACTGGAGACTAGACTCCCTTCCTGGTTGTGCAGATGGCTGTTGTCTGGGATTGTGATCTGTAAGTTTTTTCCCCTTTAAATAAATAACACCCTATTAATCATAACTCCAAACTGGTGTTGCCTTGTTTGTGACTTATGCCTTCATCTGGCGCCCAATGTCGGGATCGAACCCATGACCCTGAGATTAAGAGTCTCATGCTCTACCGACTGAGCTACCCTGGCCAGGCAGTGTTTGAAAGAATACAGTTTCCATGTAATTATTTCTGGGCATAAGCTAGCCATGCGGGCGGCCGGGTGCCGGGGACGCAGCCCCGCCGCTCATATTGCAACATAATAGAAAATTATATGTCTTCTTGCTTAATGATTGCCCGAAGTTTTGATATTAACATTTTAAATTTATAGCCTGTAACCTGTTTTTTGGTGGGATACAGAATCCTCCTCTCTAGCGTCTTTATTTCTGGTCTTCATTTGCTCTACTGTCTTACAAATTACGTCTTTATACGCTATGTGGGAAACAGCTTAAATTTAGACTTGTAGTATTATACCATTATCTTTAAATCTGATGTGAAAAGAAGGTTACAATGAACCTTTTATCTGTGCTCAGTAACTTATGAACTACTCTGTAGCCTTCCATACTTTTATAGAGACTCAGGACAGGCAGAAATCAAGACAATCCTAAGCATAGATACAATTACTAAGATAGCAAAGGAAATTAAGCTATTATTCCCAGATGTGCAGATAAAGTAAAAGCTTTAGATAT